AAACACTATTACGATTTTTCTCAGGGAAAGAAGATTTTTCCTAGCTTAGTTGTGGTTCATGTGCTAGGCAGTAGGTAGATCCTACAGGTGTGAAAGAACCCTGAGCTCATAGCGCCACTGAGGTGGGGGAGGGAGGACGTGACCATCCATGGAAGCCACCCATGAATGAAAATGCTGCAGGAAAGAGGTTAATACACACTCAGTGCCATGTGATGTAAAACAGTATGTACAGAGGTCGAAAACAGAGCATGTGATCCAGTAATTTCCTACCACTACAGTTGGTCTGCAGAGTATAAGGGCAATGAATAAATATCCCTTAGCATTCAGAAAATACTTCATCTCATGATTGTTCTAGAAGAAATACAATAAATTGATAATAAATCCAGCCAACCAAGTAATAAGTTAAAACAAAGATGATTGAGTCTCTATAAACTAATGCTTCAGTAAGGAAACACAGATCTTCAGTACTGACTGTGCCTTTATGGTATGTGTGCTTTCCTGATATTCACCCGGGTCCTGCTACTGCCACTATTTTCTCTCTGGTGAGAATAAGGGCATCTGTCTACCCCTTTATAACCAAAAAAAATGTTATCATGAAAAGAAAGCTTTTTCCTGCCACTACTTACTGTCTCCGTGGCAGAGCAGCGGCCCCAGTGTATAAGCTGCTTCGGAATGCGGTTGGCCTGCGTCCATCATCACAATCTGAGTGACTGGCAGGTGCTCCTTTTGGGAAAGGACTATTGTGTCACTGGCCCTAAAAAACAACAACCGAAACTCTTAAAATTATTCTCATTAACATCCAGGCAAAATTAACTCTGATCTCTTATCGCAATTTGAAACCAACATCATAGAGCTTAACAGAATACTTAACATTTTCAATATTTTGAGAGCACAGAGACTACCATGAGTCTAAATCAGGGACGGGCAAACATTTTGTATAAAGGAACATACAGTAAGCTATCTTAGCTCAGCAGGCCATGCAGCTTCTCACAGCAACTACCCAACTCTGCCACCAAAGTGTGAAAGCAGCCACAGACAGAGATAGGCATGGCTGGGCTGCAGTAAAAATTTATGGACATGAAATTTGAATTTCATATAAGTTTTATATGCCATAAAATATTCTTCTTTTTATTTTTCAACCTTTTAAAAATGTAAAGAAAATATTCTTAGCTCACTGCCATGCAAAAATAGACTAGTGGTCTGGCTTTCACCCAAAGCAAGAGGTTATCACTTCCCGACCCGTTTGCCAATTCCTGATCTAAATGATTACAGAGAATAAAGGGGACAAATCAAGAAGGGTGGTCATTTTGTAAGCATGGGATAATATTATATTAATATTTGCAAGATCATTAAGCATATAACTTCCCTTCTAAAATTGTCTTAGAATAATATCTAAATGATTATTCATTACAAATACAAATAGTAACACTGGATTTAGATGTTCATTTTGCAGAATATTAATTTATCACTTTTTTAAAGTCCTTTTATGATTGCTGGGTATTTCTTTCCTTGTTAACTTTGTAAATGGAAAATGAATCCCACAGATTCAAAACCAAATACATACAATACCCTTATAAGTAATACATGGGCTAATGAGTATGAAAGTGGTCTGTGAAACGCTGCTCCCAGTAGTTCAGGCAACAAACACAGGCTGGGCGCAGTGGCTCACGCCTGTAATCCCAATACTTTGGGAGACTGAGGTGGGCAGACTGCTTGAGCTCTGGAGTTCGAAACCAGCCTGGGCAACATAGTGAGCCCCATCTCTACAAAAAAATACAAAAATTAGCTGGGTGTGATGGTGCACACCTGTAGTCCCAGGTACATGGGAGGCTGAGGTGGGAGGATCTCTTGAGCCTGGGAGGTAGAGGCTGTAGTGAGCCATGTTTGCACCACTGCATTCCAGCCTGGGTGACAAAGTGAGACCCTGTCTCAAAAATTACAAAAAAACAAATAACAAGAAACCCCAAACACTTAGTGCTTTTACTTTTTGTTGAACAGGCATCTTCCTGGGAATTGAGGACACAGAGTAAAAGATATAGTCTCTGCCTTCTGAAAGCACACAGCCTACTGAATACCACGAGTATTAATTATGTGACTGGGAAAATAAATGCCCATGTCTGGGTCCAATACAAAGAGACCTGCAGAATCCCCCAGGAGAACCTGGGGTCCTGGTCTTAGCTGTGCCACTAAATTTGTCTCTGGCCAAAAAAAAGACATTGGTCTACTCTTTTGCAAAAGTATTTTATTATATATATGTATATAAATGTATATGTAATAAATACTTGGCCAATAATAAATATTGCATATATGCATATATAATAAAATGCTTATATTTACATACTTTTGGTTATATTTTACTACATACATGTCTCAACTGCATGTATATTCTGATTTACAGACAAACACTCTTAGTCCAGTTACTCATTACGATACAGAAACTACAGAATCTAGTAAATACTGTATTTTTTAAATTGCCTAGTTCCCAAACCACCTTTTCTATGCATTTGTGGCAAAAGATCACAATAACTGATACTTCATCATTGCAACACTTTTGTATTTTCAAAATAAGGCTTTCTGAATTAAAAAAATTAAATTGGCATGCCAGAGTTGTACATATATTGGGGGCACATGCGCTATTTCGATACCAGAATACAATGCATAATGATCAAATCAGGGTCACTGGGATGCCCATCACTTTGAGCATTTATCCTTTGTGGTGGGAACATTACAATCCTCCTCTAGCTATTTTGAAATATCCAATAAATTACGGTTAACTATAATTTCCCTAGTTCTATCAAATACTAGAACTTCTTTTATTTAACTGGACTTTTGTGCCCATTAATCAACTTCTTCTATAAAAGACTTTATGTATCAAAGTTTCAAATTGGAAAAGATAAAACTAAAATAAAATGGCTATATTATTTAAGATTATTCCCTGAAAAAATCCACTTAACGGTAGAGAGAGCTTATTTCTAAAATTTGGACTAAAACCCCATGCCTTACCTAGTTAAGATTCTGTTATTCATTTTTATGCAAAGCACAGGATATGGATTCTCTAAAGGCATCATCATTCAGCTTTAGAGTGGACTGACTGATGGTAGATGAGCTAGAAATATGTCTCCTGCTGAATGAGGTAGGTCTAGGAAATTTTTTATTAATGTGGTAGCCATTAAAAATTACCATTTCAACTTCTGTGATCATCATTTTAGCAAGATAGTCTAGTAGAGAAAATGTGATTTTATTAGTTATTTATGGAGGATGCTTGAATTTTAAAAGATCTACTTTACATGAGCTGCAATTTTCATTCCATTTTTAATACTGACAGTGCAAAATACTGAGAATGTGTAAGTGAAATCCACAGTGCATTTCAGTTTAATTAGGGCAGATACTAAAATAAAGTCTTGTTTTTTCAGTTGTTTTGGAAAGCTTGGTGTTTTCAGTCTGAGCATAAAGATGGCCAGTGTTTTTCACCAGTTTCTTATTGTTACAGGCAGATTCCGAACCTTTGGAGATCAAAATAGAATACTCAGGATTTGTCATAGTGATCAGACTTCCTCACAACTTCCTAATTAATAGGGATATCTCATTTTTCTTCTTTTCTCCCTATTATTTTCTAAAGCTTATACTATAGTCTACACTTGGGAATACTGCATTCATAGTACCATCATCTCTTGCAGCAGTATTAAAAATTCAGTAAGAGAACTTTCAAAGACTTTTTGCTTTTATTTTATATTTTATTAAAAATTTTATTTATTAAAAATTCCTATGGTTCTGGAAATTGTACTTTCCTAGGAAATGTGGAAACTTCTAAAAGGTACTACTTATTATTTGCCAGGGAACTTTATTTAAGGTAAAGTAGAGCCATAAATTTAGGAGGTTGCAAAGAAAGCTAAAAGGGAGAAATGTTGAGTCAACTTTTAACTTTTTTTTTGGTTTTTTGAGACAGAGTCTCACTCTGTTGCCCAGGCTGGAGTGCAGTGGCGTGATCTTGGCTCACTGCAACCTCCACACCCCCAGGTTCAAGTGATTCTCCTGCCTCAGCCTCCTGAGTAGCTGGGATTACAGGCATACGCCATTACGCTCAGCTAATTTTTGTATTTTTAGTAGAGACAGGGTTTCACCATGTTGGTCAGGCTGGTCTCAAACTCCTGACCTCGTGATCCACCCGCCTTGGTCTCCCAAAGTGCTGGGATTACAGGTGTGAGCCACTGTGCCCAACTGTTAATGATTATTTTGGGGGAGTAGATCAGCAATAATAAAATCATTATGATCCACACCTAACCCACTGAAAAAATTTCCAGATTCTCAATTTCTGTTTAATTGCCTATCTTCTGGCCAATTCAACCTGCATTAATTACTATAGCAATACAGTATGTCTTGACAGATAACATAACTAGTTTCTTCACCTTATATTTCATCTTAAAAATTATCTTGCTTACCCTTTCATCCTTAATTTCCACATGAGTTTTAAAACCAGGTTGTTGCAATCCACACAAGTAAAACACTTGGCATTTTTTTGGAATTTTGTTAAAATTACAGACTAATCTGAGGAGAATGTCAACTTTAAAAGAGGGTATCTCAACAGCAGCATTACTGATATTTTGGACTAATTATTTTTTGTTATGGCGGGCTGTCCTGTGCACTGTAGGAAGTTTAGCAGCACCTTGACTTCTAATTAATAGATACCAATATAAACAACCTTCCTCTCTGTGTGATGACAAAAAATGTCTTCAGACAATGCCAAATGTCCCCTGAGGGTCAAAATCACGCCTGATTGAGAACTACTGCTTTAAGATACTGAGTCATACTCTTCATGACAGTAGTGAGTCAATCCATTCATTTGGCTGTCCTTAATTCTCTTGAATAAGTTTTGTAATTTTTTCCATAAAAGGACTGCAGTTATTCCACAGAACTTTACATTTTTGTTAATACTGCAAATAAAATTTTTCTAGGTGTGTAATGGTAATTATTTTATGATTTTATAGAAATTCAAGTAATTCCTCAATACTGACTGACCATAAATTCAGCAAACTTACTGAACTCTTATTTTTCCTGATATTTCTTTCTATTATTTTGGATTTTCTATGTAGGCAATCATGTTATCTACAATATCTGCCAGGTTTGTTTCTTTTCCAAACTTTTGATCACTTACACGTATTTTATATCCTCTTGTGTCTTTAACTGACACATGAAGTTTAAAAAATTATATATTTGTTATTGATTACAATTAAGAATATAGTTTGCATCATGACAATTCTATAAAATTTGATTCCATACATTTGCAAAATTTTTTATACCTACTCAACAATAATGTATAATATTCTATAAAAAATAATTTTTCTTTACTAAACGATATATGGCTGCTACATCAAGTTTGTTAATTATAATATTAAAATATTCTTACCTGCTTCACTTACTCATTCCCAAAAATGTTATGTTAAATTATTCCACTGTTTTGGGTGTCACTTTGCCTTTGCATATTTGTTACTTCTTTATTTATATATATATATACGTATATATACATGTGTATACACACACACATATATAAAGAAGTAATATATATTAGTATATAAAGTGTGTATATATATATATAAAGAAGTACATATATATATACACATACACACTTTCTTTTTTTTTTTTTGAGATGGAGTCTCGCTCTGTTACCCAGGCTGGAGTGCAGTGGTGTGATCTCGGCTTACTGCAAGCTTCGCCTTCGGGGTTCACACCATTCTCCTGCCTCAGCCTCCCAAGTAGCTGGGACTACAGGTGCCTGCCACCATGCCTGGCTAATTTTTTTTTGTATTTTTAGTAGAGATGAGATTTCACCTGTGTTAGCCAGGATGGTCTCCATCTTCTGACCTCGTGATCTGCCCGCCTCAGCCTCCCAAAGTGCTGGGATTACAGGCATGAGCCACCGCACCCTGCCACTTCTTTATATATTTTAAACAATCTGATGATGCACACAAGTGTAGTGAGTTCTTTCTAGTGTGTTTATCTCAGCATTAGAGTTCAAGTTTACCCTTAACAACGCTTTTCGTCTTTTTCTGATATAACACAGCTATATCTGCTTTCTTTTCATTTGTATTTACTTGGTAAACATTTTCCATTCTTTTAGTTTCAACTTCACTGAGTGCTTATATTTTATCTTTTGTAATCAAACTATAGCTTCTTTAAAAATCCAATATGATAAAATCTAATATCTGGTTTTTAAATGAACAGAGTTTACTCATATTTATTATGATTATTTGTACACTTGTATGCATTTAAACCATCTTCTTTTATGCTTTTTGTTTGTGGTTATTTTTAAAGACTCTAAGATAATCACAGAAAAGTCCTATTTAAATTCTTAAGTAAAATAATACTACAATTACATGTGTCATTATATTAGCCAAACAACTTGTGGATTTTTGCAGACAGTTGAATTATATGTTATATGTATATTTCAGAAAATATATTGGTCTATTTGAACATAGTCCACTATAGATTTATACACATATATTGACTTGCAGCATAGTTCAATATTTTAAATCATTATAATGCCTTTTAAATATATTTGTTTTTATAATAAATCATTGGCATGTTATAGTTATCTGATAGACTATTCTTACTGTGCCTGAGGAACTGTCTGATCATAAACTTTTTTTAAGTAATATGCTTTAGATGAGTTGCTGATTACAGGGACAACTTATGGAAAAATGGTGTTTATACTAACAATACTACTGGCTCCATTAGCAGACATATGCTGAAGAGACTTAAAATAGCTTTCACTTTACTTTCATTCCCGAATACTATTTTTATCATAAACTTTCCACCAGGAAAACCTTACCAGGCACTTCAGTAACAGAAAAGAAGTAATAGGCCGGGCGCGGTGGCTCAAGCCTGTAATCCCAGCACTCTGGGAGGCCGAGACGGGCGGATCACGAGGTCAGGAGATCGAGACCATCCCAACATGGGCTAACATGGTGAAAC